CATCGCTTGCTTGCTTGTTGCATTCCAGACCAGATGCCACCGAAGGCTTCCGAACCACTAGTCTCCCGCAACTCTGCTGTTAAGATGGGCCGGCGATTGCCTTGCAAGTAAGAGTTGCGAATTTCCAATCAGAGGTAGTATCCACGCTTCACACCAGAACGTTCACCGTGTTCATGCTAGTAGAAGCTCGTTGCCGAACAATCGTGACCATTGACTGCGTCGTATTGGCCTCGCGCGCACTCGGCCAACTTTGTTAAACAAATTAAATATGCATAGAAAAAGGATTTATAAAAACGATAAACGGCAAATAACCAGCAAAAATTATCGAGCAACGGCTAACATAATAAGTACATAACGCACTGGCTCAGCCAATGACTAAATTATACGTCCGCCTACTAAATTAAATATTGTCGGAGGACGTATACGTGGCCCTGTTTTGAAACCACATGAGCTGCCTTAATTACGTTGAAAGCGGAGCATTGCACCATTGCATCCACCAAACTCTTCAACGTTCACACACTCGTAATAGGCTATATATATTAATTTTTGATTTTTTATTTATTATATTTATTTATCAATATATTTTTATTTTTCCAAAAATGCATGGCGTGAATGCACGTTTATACAACCACGACAACAAAGACGATGACTCTTAGTTCGCTATCGTTGTTGCTTATCGTCGAACCAAACTCGCACAGAAAGCTTGCGCAAAGCACATCTAATACTCTGGATAATGCTGGTAGCTCGCGAATGTAAGAGTTTGCGTTTCAATCACAGTAGTATCCATACGTCACACCAGACACGTCCCGTGTCCCTTGTAGTTGAAGCTCGTGCAACATGCTACATTGACGCGTGATATTTAGCCTCGCGCGGGCACTCGGCAACTGTATTAAATTACTTAAAGGTGACAAAACAAGAGAAATTACTACCCGCGTGAATAAATTAGTAGGAAGACTTAATCGAGCCAAACTAAATAACAAAAATAATGGCGACTAAATGAGGAATTAACGCGCCCGTCTGCCAGCTACCTGCACGCCATCAATTCATGAGGCGTGCGCCACTGGAATACTACACCACCAAAAATTTTTAGTTGGCTCTTCGCAAACAAGCGGCCAATTTTCATCGCGAGCCGCCAAACGTTTGCGTGCACGTGACAGCATATGCTTTATCATAATTAATAATTATGATTATAAAATCGATATCATGGCTATTTGCGTTTTATCGACATTCTACACCGATTCTCACTCCCACACCGACATTCACCAATCTATTAAATCCTTCTAACATTGTTCATGTTGGACCAATGAAGTAATCTACAGCATTTGCCGACATTATTTAAATACGGCAATTGGCTTTCTCATCCTTGAAGGACCGT